ATTCTCAGACCCCAGTTATTCTCAGATTCCACTACACTTTTCGCAGTTTCATTTGCGTTGATTCACTAAAAACCCATTCCGATTCCTGTCGGTTCCACTGGAAGGTATCCAGTGGGTGCTGTGCCCTCTGTGCCCCTTGGCCGAGGGGAGCCCGGTGGATGGGGAATGCAACGAGGGAGCAAGTTGCTTCTTGGGTGGTGGAGCCTGCCTGGGAATGCGGAAGGGTGTGATGGCAATAGTGGTAATGGGTTGTTTCCTCAAAGTCCCTTCTGGGTTTATTCCCTGCTGCTGGACTCAAAGTGGGGAAGAGAAACTTTGGAGATAGAAACCGTGGGTCTGTAATTTCTCAAAATGCTTGTCATGATCATGAACAATTCAGATAATATAATGTCCAATACCATCGGAAATCAGTGGAAGCAGAAAGATGGCCTTGGCAGGAGCATAAGAAGGAATTGGAAGGCTGCCAGCGCCTGCATCCCTCTATGGCAAAGGAGTTTTGCTCATCTCCAAGTTAGAAGAAAAGGGAATTGTCCTTTTTGTTAAACGAGTCAGTTCACATGAACTCGGCGCTAGAGTTAACTTAGGAGCATCCTTGGCTCTTAGATGGGAAACTCCGAGTCAGAATCCCTTTGAGCTTCTGTGGACTCAGAGAAGGGTCACAGCCCGTCCCCCCACCTCCCCATACGCAGAAGTCTAGATTTGAGACTGGTTAGAACTATACATACAAAACATAAAGCAAAATCAACAGCACATTGTTGTATGAGCCTTATTGGTTGTTAAACTTATCCAGGCCACTTCACTGTTGCCATAACTTGCTTTCCTGTGTGTCCACTTCTCACGTGCTTATCAATAGGAAACTTTATTTTTGCCATCAATGGGAAAAATGCATTGTGGTACTTATGAATTTATAGGGTATATATATATATGTGTGTTTGTGTATGTTTGTACCTCCTGCCCCCTTCTCCCCAACCAGCTCCGCTTTGGAATGAAACTACAGAAAAAAAATTGGGAGTCCTGGCAGATGAAGACAACACATTGCAACAGAATAGCAGCAGTAACACCAGTCACAGCAATGTCACGCAGAAAGAAATCACACTGCCTTCAAGACTGGTCTATTACATCAACCAAGACTCCGAAAGCCCTTACCATGTTCTTGACACAAAGGCAAGGCACCAGCAAAAGCATAACAAGGTAGGCAGGGCGCTGGGTATGCAAAAGTAGCTGCCACAAGGAGCTGCTTTTGATTTGATGTTCTGCCAGAGTCTGATTTCACACATTTTACTGAAGCATTTTATTAGGCAATCAATTACTATCACGATAGGGCAGAAACTGGAGGGAATTCACCTGGGCTGTCCTGGAAGAGGATTGCTCTTTCTCTTCTCTGACTCTAAACTGGAATTGGAATTTTCTCAATGGCCTCATAAGTGTAGCAGCTGACATGTGGTCCCTGTATCTTTCAGGTGCATTGGACACTGAACAGTAGTAAAGTGACTGTGTTTATGATCCTGACTTACAAGTGTGAGGCTTCATGTAAGGGTGCAGCATTCCCCGTCCCATGATGACAATTGCTTTACAGCAGGGGTCCTCAAACTAAGGCCCGCGGGCCACATGCAAATACAAATATTGTATTCGTTCCCGTTTTGTTTTTTTACTTCAAAATAAGATATGTGCAGTGTGCATAGGAATTTGTTCATAGTTTTTTTTTAAAACTATAGTCCGGCCCTCCAAAGGTCTGAGGGACAGTGAACTGGCCCCCTGTTTAAAAAGTTTGAGGACCCCTGCTTTACAGTCTGGACACAGAAGGTTGTAAGATGAGGCTGTTTGGCTAGACTCACATAGAAATTGAATATTTAAATTTAAGCAACTTCTCTCTCTCTTTATCTTTAATGAATCAATAGGAAAAATACTTTGCTTTATATTTTCAGTAGGTAAAGACATTGACACTTAAAAAGACTGGTGACTATAAACAAACCATTTGTGCAATATAGCGACCAGTTTTGCTCAGTATAATCCTTTAGACTTTACCTGCATCCACTGTAAGTGGTTGCTTTTACTTTCTTTCAGGTTGGTTCAGAGAGTGGCCCTGAAGGTGGGGAAGGTAGAGGTGCTTGACATCCAAAGACTTTAAGGGACTTTTTCCCTTGCATACTATTTATTTGAGTTCATAATATTTTGGACCCCAACAGATTAACACATTGGGTTATCAGTGCCTCTGCTCTTTATCAGGAGCAAAAAATTGAGTTGGTATGTCAAATACTTTCCTTTGGATTATCTCCGTTTAGTTGAAAGGAATAGTAACTGTCTAAACATCCAAAACTTTAGAAAAGTATCTGTGGTTTATATTATGATTTTTATTAGTTTTCTAAAATAGAGGGAAATGGTAACTATTTATCAAATGGGGAGTTAGAAATGTAAGGCTTTGAAGGGAACTGTCCAAAGATTGTAAAACAGCTCATATAAAAATTCAAAAGGCCTGAATATTTAAGTTTCACAAGTCAGGTTTCTGAGAAAACGCGTCCTTCGTACTGGTTATTATTGGAGAAGTTAATTTTGTTTCTCAAGATTATGAAGTCGCTGCTACCCACCTTGGCTGAGATGAATGGGTCTCTGATCTTGCAGTCCTCTTCCCATCCGCTCCTATGTCACTGAAAGGGTTGATTCCTGCATCACGTCTACCCATTTGTCTTGTTCATAGGAGTGGGTGGTGTCTTTACAGTAGAAGAGTCCAGCGCTGTCTCCATGAATGCTTTGAGGCCCATTTTATGGCTTTCCTAATGAAAGAGACCTTCTATGGTTAAGTGGCGAGTTCTCAAACTCCAGTGCCTTTGCGTAAGATATTGGAGGAAGAAATAAAAGCTGCCTCAAAGACTATTTTAAAGAGTGCCCAAGCCCTCTTGAGCTGAGACTTGAAAGCAATTCCAGTGGAACTTCTTTGTAACGGGGGTGTTGGAGGCTATGAGTAATGCCTGTCTTATAGTCTAACCTGGTGTGGCTGCTTTGTTGGTAGTGCATGGTTTGACTACAATATGTCTGAATTTCTATGATAATAGGTTTGTTAAAACTTCACCCACCACTCAGGTTGAAGAATAGATTTTTCACTGTGCAACTCATACTTGCTGTTGGAATGCTTCTACCTCTCCACTTTTATTCCCCAGGATAGTTGGGCTTCTTTTATCGTAAAAAGATGTTTACAGAGAAATTATATTTGAAAGCACTTTTCTTCTTTTTTAAAAATTAGTTTAATTCAATAAACATTTGTTGCATGTTTCTATGTGCAAGGTACTATGCCATAGATTCAGAGATAAGAGGAAAAGGGTACCAGGAGGAATAAGACATAGTATGTTTTCCAGGAGACACAAAAATGAGATGAGCAACATTCTAAAAAGTGCTCCTATACAGTTATAAACTGTTCTTCTTAAGTGGCACATTCCCTGAAATTTCCCTTTGTGTTCTGTGATTTTACTTTTACTTCTGTTTTTTTTTCTTCTCCTTTTTTTTATAATTTTTTTTATTGCTTAAATTATTACAAAGAGTATTACATATGTCTCCTGACTTCTGTTTTTAAGCATCTCTTGAATTAGTTGACAAGAAGAGTTTCTAATGCTTTCTGCTTATATCTGGGTGACTTGCCTAATAATAGTGATGATAGAATTTGTTAGTTTCACTACTTTACAAATACTTCAGTAAGAGAAGAAGTACAGAATTTCACCATTTTTGATTTTATAAGTTTTGATTTTAATATCTCTGTAGCATGTACCTTTTTTCTTCCCTGATTTCATTGCACTCAAGCACATTTTAATGAATGTCTGAGAAATGCTGAATCACTGTGCTATTCTCCTGGATTCTCATAGTTGGGGGTAGAGGTGGAGAGGTAAAGTCCTAGATATAGGTTGCAAGGCAGAGCTCTGTATTTATTTCATAAATATTCAGTGTTGATCAGGCCTTATTACTTTGCAGCTGTGAAAGTTAAAATGTTTAACTCTTTCAAAATTGGTGAGTTCAAGAGGAGATGGTACAAAGCAAATACAAAACACCTCTATATTACCAGTGTTTTTGAAGACCTTAAGGTTTTCCTTGTGGAATTGTTAATGGCAAATATTAGAGTCAAACCTCGGTTCTTGAGTTTGGCTAAGAAAGAATTCAGAGCAAAGAACTCTGATGCAAGAGAAAGTTTATTTAGAAAGTCACAGAGGTTGAAGAAGGGAGCCAGCTGGGCTGTATGGACTTAGGAAACAAGTTACAGAGGCAAAAGAAGGGCCCTTGGAACTTGGTAGAAAGAAAGCAAAGGTACTGCCTGAGAAAGAAAGTGCGGGTGTGTGTGTGTGTGTGTGTGTGTGTGTGTGTGTGAGAAAAAGAGAGAGAGAAAGAGCGCACAAGCGCACCCTGTGCTCCTCATCTTTAGGATTTTTATTTGTTTTGCAAAGGCGAAAATTTTAGGTGAGGTCTCCGGAGGATCTCAATAGAATGTTTATTAGCCTTCCAATTGTGTCCTTTCAGGGTCGTGGTTTCTACGGATTGGTGGACACTAGGGTCATGGTATCTACTGATTGGTGGACACTAGGGTAGAGGGTCATTTGTCATTGTATCTGGTCCTGCTGCCAGCCAGCCATGGTGTTGCTTGGTCTGGTTTTGCTGTTCTTCTGGGCTTGGAGCGAAAACACAGTTGAGGCCTAGATATTATCTCTAGTTTGACCAAAACTCTGTTTCTGTGGCTAATAGACCCAAGGTTTTGTTCCTAAGATTATTTGATGCTGATTAGAACCTCATTGTCCTAATGCTTAATGCTTAAGGGAGTGATCATGCAAGGACTTGTATGCAAGTTGTATGAGGCTGTTCTCTGGTCCCTTGTTCCTCCTTTCAGGGAGTCTAAACTGGATGACTAGCATCATACTAGGGGAGAAAAAGTCACCCTGAGGGTCAGGTCCCAGCCTATAATAGTTGTTTTCTCCAGTGTTGCCTGTTGCTAGGTACCCAGGACTTTCTGCCCTGGTGACATTTTGTATCTGGCCTGTTGTTCCTGCTCTGCTCATGCCTGTCTAACTGCCTACTCTATCAGAATCTTTTTCTTTTTTTAAAAAAAATGTGTTTTCATTCATTGATTTCAGAGAGAGGAAGAAAGAGGGAGAGAGAGATAGAAACATCAATGATGAGAGAGAATCATTGTTTGGCACCCCCCCTACTGGGGATCGAGCCTACAACCCGGGCATGTACCCTGTCTGGGAATTGAATCCTGACCTCCTGGTTCATGGGTCGATGCTCAATCACTGAGCAATACTGGCTGGGCTCTATCAAAATCTTTTTATCTCCAGATAGGGTGATAGATGACCTATTTATCCAAAGTACTCCATTTTTGAGAATGAAAGAGGGCACACTTAATAATTATTCCAGAACAATAGGCATAAACCAAGATGGTCCATAGCAGAGGGGGAATGTGGTCACCTCCGTTCTAAGTAGTTACTGGTTTTTGGTGCTTATTCAAATTCAAGTTTCTTTATAGTTTATTTTCTTTTCTGATGATTTATTGTAAATTTTTCTTACTAGCTAGGATGTCAGTTTACCATGTAGAAGTATTAGGGTCTGAAATGGAAGAATTTAGTTTTGCTTTTTTACCAAGACATGTGTTCTTCATTTGTAGATGCTTTTATGAGCATAAACGGAATTTTTATGGTTACTAAACGTAAGCATTTTATTAACCACTAATGCAATATATGAATAAAATGGAGCATACATTTAAAAAGAGAGAAAAACTATTTAGATTCATTCACTCATTCATTTAATCTGAGCTAATTTTTTGAGGTCTGTTCCTAAGAAAGTTAATTAATCTGTGGGGGAGGAAAAATAATTTTTTTCTCTACCCTACTAGGTACTTGTCTGAGACACACACTGTGTTAAAAGTAAGGTTACAGGAGAACAACAAACAGAAATTTAAAGCATGTTACATAGGAGAGGCTCAGGAAAACGGAGTAACTCTTCAAAACGGCCCAGGCCATCACCTTAAATAACATCTCCTGCTAAAGACAAGATCTTGGAGGTGGGGAACCAGTTGTGGGAGGGTACAGGGAAAGCACAATAAACAAGGTTAAGGTTGTTATGCAGATTTAAGTCTCTGCCTTCTCCACTGATAAAAGTTTCTCAAAATTTTAGTCACCCTCCTCTTCCTGCTACATAGATGGAGACAGGGGTGGTATATT